AGCGCCGCGATGCTCCGCCGCTGCCACCCTCGGTGCGCGGGGTCCGGGGGTGACATTCGATTGTCCCTGTGACCCCTGGGCGAGGCACAGCCAGGAGCCACCACCGAAAGCGTGAACCTCTTCAAAGGGGCTCACTCAACGGATGAGCCTGGGTTAGTCATCCACCAAGAGCTTTGTTTTTCTCCCGTCCCACTCCCCGCCCTGGCACGGGGGTTGAAGCCGTTTCTCGCCGCTTAGAACTTAAAAAAAACATTTTATCTGCCAGGGAATCAGTCTGCTCTGCCCTGAAAACACGATTTTCTCTCGGTGCAGCCCCAGCAGTTGGGTTTTGCCCCGGTGGGGGTGGATTTTGAGGTGATTGCCCCGGGGTGCTGGCACATGTGTGTGCTCACTGAGCTTCACACGGAGCTGGGTGTTGAGAGGAAACACAAAGCCGTGGGTAAAACCTGCAGGATCCAGGAAATGGGGAGAAAAATTCGGATTTTGGTGCAGAGCAGCATGCACACACTCCAAATCCTGGAAGGCTTTTTTTATCTATTTCACTCAATTCAAGAATTTCACTCAATCGAATTTCAAGAAATAACTCGGCTTTTTCTTCTCTTGCAGGACCATTTTGGACATTAGAATTGTCCTTCAGTCACAGAAATTTCCCTGATTTCCCCACAGAAATAATCCCTAATAAAGCCCTGTAACCACTCAACAATTCTTTTTGTGCCAGCACGGAAAGTAACTCTCTGCTTKATTTTTTTTKTTTTTTTTTTGTTTTTTTTTTTGTTTTGTTTTTCTTTTAGACAATTGAATTAAAAACAAAGCAGCAGGAAGGGAAGTTTCGGTTCCTGCACACGAAGAGCTGCAGGGGCTCAGCAGTGACAAACTCCCGGGTTGGCTCTGCACGTGGAGCCAGAAACCTCCGTACCTGTTCAGACCTGAATAAAGTTTCTGGACAAGCTGTGGCGSTGACAGGTGGTGGTTTAATATCAACACTTTCTGCTCGGTTAAATCTGCAGAGCCGGGGTCTCGGTGAAAGGGGAAAGTGAAAAGTAACTTTCATTTTGGGCGGGTCAGCGGCTGCCACCGCTGGGCTCGAAAAACGGGCGATTTCTGCTAAATCTGAACGCGTGAAATTGTGTTTTGTTTCAGCAAGAGGCCAGGAGGGCTCCCACTCGTGGTGTGAGGACAGAGGCAGGGATGTTCTRCCTGGTTTTAGTGCTTGGGGAAGGAGCAGGATGGGCTGGGAAGGCTCTAAGGTGGTTTAGCAGTGGATTGTGCTGCTGTCATTAAATGCAATACAACACTGCTTWCCTGGTTAATTTTCCTTATTTTCCTACATTCTGAACATTCTTGTCCCCTGCTTGGTGCTAACAGCTGGCTCTGAGCTGATCCTGCCCTGAAATAATGAAAATCCTGAAATATGGACTTCTCATCCATAAAAAATCCTGCTCAGGCTCATTGCTT